GAGAGAGAGAGAGAAATTTTTCGTTGTGACGCCACGGACAGGAGATAGATGGATTAGACTGCGGAATGCGAGCGAAGCTGTTTGCCTCTCACCGCGACCGTCCGTGTGCTACACAAGCCGCATTCCTACTCTTATATTTCGTTTTCTCTCTCTCTCTCTCTCTCTCTCCCTCTCTCTCTCTCTCTCTCTCTCTCTCCCTCTCTCCCTCTCTCCTCTTTCATAAAGCGTATCGACACTTCATTCAAAACCATTCCTCGCGCTTGATTGAACGGATGTTTCGCTTATCTCTCTCTCTCGCTTCCGATTTTGTTCTCTTCTCGTTTGTTAACCAGTGGTTTGCATGTTGCGCTATCATCGTGATGAAGGACTCGCGGTTTTTCGCAATGTTTCTTTGTTATTAATAATGCACGTTATTAATAATTTATGGATGCGCAGAAGATAAGAAAAGAGAGAGAGAGAGGAGAGAGAGAGGAGAGAGAGAGAGAGAGAGAGAGAGAGAACCGAACGAACGGCCTAGATGTCGAGAGGAAAACAGTAAGCTGCGCGTACTGTTCGCGCGCGAGCAGCATCGACTGTCCCCCGCGCGTACTATAGTACGTTGTGCAGCAACACCGGCTATGAATGGGATTCTCGGCGCGCTAACGTATAAACGCTCTCTCTCTCTCTCTCTCTCTCTCTCTCTCTCTCTCTCTCTCTCTCTAGCTCTCGCCGTCCTCGATTAGTCGGAGAAGGCTAGCTCGAACGGCTATGCATGTGCGCGGGCATGCGCGCGCGACGATATCGATCTTCACAAGGACATGAGTACACTTGATGGCAGTCGGCGAATTGGCAATAGAAAAAAAAGGGCAAGCCACGCGCGCCAGCGCAATCGGACTCTCCTGACTGCGCGTTACCGCGCGGCTTCACCTGTCCTCCACTGGTGCGCACGACGAAAGTTTCGTTTGGAGTCCCGTCGAACGAAACGAGCGTGACTCGACGCGTCCGTCGTGTTCCAGAGGTGCGACGAATCGCGCGAGCGCATTTTATATAACCTCGGCGAAGAGGAATGAAAAAACAGTAGAAGAAGATTCAGGGACAGGTCGCGGATAATATGCTAAATCATTGGCGCGCGCCGTCAAGGTCGTTCCTTTTCAAGCGGCAGAGACGCTCGTAAATGACTAGCGGCAGCGCGTTTTCATTAAAGCAGAGCGAGCTTGAAACAATCCGCAGAGATTTGTGCAGAACACTGACGCGCTCGCGAGAGAGGAGTTGAAGAGCGCGGTCAATTACCCTGAGAGAGAGAGAGAGAGTCGGAGCGCCTGGAATCCGGCTTACCTTGTGCTAACCCTTCTCCATCTACTGCAGGTTCGCAATCCTCGCGTGCTGCGCAAAAAGGCGAGCAGATAGATAGAGAGAGAGAGAGAGAGAGAGAGAGAGAGAGAGAGAGAGAGAGAGAGAGAGAGAGAAGCGAGTTTCATTGAGATGCCGCGAGAGTTGAATCAGCGCGCGAAAATCCTCGATGTTAATTCATTCAAAACGTTCTCTCGAGGCGCACCTGCGTGATGCACTTTTCGCGTCATCGCACACCTCGTTAGCACCTGATATTATAAATGCCGTGCGAGTCCGAGCTTCAGTTTGGTATTTTTTTTCTTTTGCATTCCGAATTCGCTCTTTTCTTTTTTTCGGGGCGGTTTGGAAGGCAGACGATCCTTGCTCTGAGTTATATCTCTTGTATTGTATTTTTTTTGCTTGTTTTGCAGCGGCTTTCTTTTTTCTACGGCTCTTTTCAGGCTATTTTGTGGTTTCTTGGGAGAAAATTTAAAGAGCACGTTTCGTTGTTTCTTACACGACGAACAAATGCCCTGCTATTGCTTAATTACGAGAGGTTTTTGCCTCCGTTATTTTACGCTTTCATACGGTTGCGCATTTGGAATCGACTGACAATAGCCAGACTAGAGGGAAAATTAGAGTACTTTCAAGAGCGAACTTGAGAAAATTAGAACAAGTTACTTGGTACAATGGGTTTACTAGACGCTCCCTTTCGTCCCATCGCGAGCAATGATTCGTAATCAGTGAGCCGAAGCTCGCGCGGCAGAAAACGATCTTGCGCCAAAAGCGTAACTACGCAAAAATGAATATCAGATCGGCAGCGCCGAGCGACGCGCAAACGTAATTGATATCCGCGCGCGCGCGACACGAGGCGCAAGCGGCGTCCGAGCATTAAAGAAGGCGGAGCCCGAAGAAAACAAGCGCGTTTATCGCACGAAGGGTTGAGCGGAAAGAAAGCGCGAAGCGCTCCTGTAATTAGGCCATTGCCGCGCTCGCGAGCGCACGCCGAAAAAGATTATCGGCGGGGAGGAAGAAAGAAGCGAGGCGCACAAGGCGAAACAGCCTACTGATCAATCGGGGGCCCAACTTTATCATGCCTCGAGGAATTTGACGTCGTGCGGGGCTGCTCGCTGCTTTTACTTTCTTTTTCTCTGTCCCTTTGCTTTTCTGGCGAGAAGGAGGTGCTTGGAAAGTCGGTGTCGCTGATGCATTGGTTTGTCGAGGAGATAATCGTGGAGATGCAGTTGAAGCGAATTGCTAACGACGACGCTCGACGCAGCCGCGCCGTAGACCCGCATTTTTCCGGAGCGCGGCTTCGATCTTTATGCCCCGACGAGCAGCGCCTTTATTTTCAATCGATAAATCCTGCGGAGGTTCGACGCGTGATTAAGCGACTGCCGTCCCATCGGCAATTAATATCTTCGAGGCACTCTTCGCTTCTTTTATTTTTTTCCGACATCTCAGCCGCCATACGAATTAATAATCGCTTTCGCGAGCTGCGTCTTTCGGAAGTGAAAGTTAATGCGCGGAATTCGGCTGATTGATAGATCTGTTTTACTTTCGTGCTGTTCCAACCGCAGTTTATCATGTTGACCCTGTCAAGTCCTTCGGCAAAAAACATTTCAACAATAATATTTTGCTTTTCTCAAATACCGTAACCATTGAAAAGGAAACACTTTGGTTCACGTCATCAATCAAAACAACTCAATTATCGATCAATCGTCAACTCGACAAATGAACAAATTACAAAGTAACTCGAAAACCCAGTTGAAAAAGAGTCGCCGCACCGACCAAGATTCGAGTTATTAATCTGTCCGAAGGAATAATAAAAAAAAAACCAAAACGTGCTCCTCCCTTGACGAAGATTCAGAAGGGGACGCCGGTCATTCGAATAAAACGAAAGCAGCCGATTTCGAAACTAGTTGTTAATAAGATACTTTGACAAAAAGGAATAAAAAGTGACCGAGACAATGTGTGTTGCGAGAGAGTTCCGAGAAACGCTGCTGCTGTGGCGCTCTAAAAGTTCGATTCTCACGCGGCGTTTTATCTACGCTCATTCATCTTGAGCCGCGGCGCCTGTGTGTATGTATGTGAGAGGATATATATTGCTTCTGACCGATTTCACGTCTACTTACGAGATGTTGTGATTTGATGCTGACTGCTACTATATAGTCATGTTTGATTTACCTAGAACACACAAAAGAGAGAATGCCATTAGTTGAGTTATTCGGATACATTGAATGGTTAAATTAATGGAACTACAAGAAATATGTTTCTAATAATATTATTGGAAACCGTTAACGTATCGACTGCTTTATTTTCTCAGTATTAATGTTTCAGTAAAGTGTGTAGATAAACTATAATAAAAATGGAAAAGATGGAGATGACAAATTGCATAGAAAAATTATGGGAATTTGAAGGCAAAGGTTTGAGAATAAGGGATGGAATATACTGTTTAACATGCAAGGTATGTTTAGAGTTTAATATTAAGATGTACAAAGAATCGAGCGGCTTGCTCACTTATGCTGACGAGTAGACGGCCCTCAAAACACTGAAGGCGTCCATCACTTTCACTCGTTCAAGGAAAAGGTTTTTCTGTCTCTTCCGCGCTCTCTAGCGGCCAGCTACTTTTCCGCGCAGGGTGCCACTAGGTCGCTATACTCGCGTACATACATACTTTCGCATACATTACACAATATCATGATTTCTGTATTTCTTTTGCGCCAGCTACAATATTGCCACGAGATTATTTTATTTTTAACGTGAAAACATTTCTTTTACCTCGAAAAAGAAAAACATTCAATCTCCATACTCGGAAAGAGGGAAAAATATTCAGAACATCCGAGAAAATAAAAGTCCTATTACTACACAAAAGCGAATTTTTCTACGAATGTACAAAACTAGGAAATAGATACCGTTGCATATATGAAAATAAAAAAAAATTCATTTTTCTCTGAACTGGTTCCCAACTAGCGGCGTCAGTATCGAGCTTTTCCATCGGCGCCGAGTCACGTATGCGAGTTTTATGAATGAAAGGACCCCTCCCCTCTCTTTCTCTTTCACGTTCTTCGAGTAGACTGTTTGAAGTTGGAGCCGTCTTCTTTTGAATGAGTGCCGGATGCGGGATGAAGTTTCCTTCGTGTGTGTCTGGAATTTTTCACTTCGGATGGTCCTTCATTTTCCTCTCTACGCTCGAGGCGCAGGTAGTGATTTATTTTTCCCTCGTTCAATGGCGCGAACAAATCGAAGTTGCCGTCAAGTGAGCCATTGACGGCTAAACCAATAACGTACGCAGCGCAAACAGGAAACACGTGGAAAGTGCAACAAGTATCTAGTGCGAATCAGTTCGCTTTAAAAAAGGAATGCCTCGTTCTGAGTGTATCGCTTCTACTATCGCTTCTCGTCTATCCATATAACTTTCGAATCTACCCCTCCAATTCTTTTCCACCGTATCTCGCTCCCTGCTCCGGAAAACTTGAGCTTACGAGTGAGAGGTACCGCCTGGGGTTTTTGGAATCCTGCAAGGATTGTCCAATGCTTAGCAGCACGCATGTATCTATTTTCCGTGTTGCCCCATTCCTCGAATAAAAGAAAAAAAAAAAAAAAACCGGGGCGCTTCTCTGGCCTTTTACGTAACGCCGACTCCGTACCCAAGCTTTTCCTCTCCTCTCTTTTTCATGTGGATTATCTCTCTCGCTTCCGGTGCAGATATAATGAGAAAAACGAATGTTCTTGAATTTTATCGTATATTTTTTTAACGCAAGAATATACAGGCGTAGAGAAACGGGTAAAAAATGTGCAGTTTATTTTAGAATTCGAAGTATGCATGATTGAAATTTTAGTACAATAAACAACCCCAAACAAAACAAAAAATAAAAGATAAAACAAAAAAAATTGAGAGCGTTTAAGAAACTCGTCGAATAACGTCATTACGCGAATTCCACTTCAATTACAATTGCCAACGAGAGCAAAAACGAAACGCCCGCAAATCGTTGAATCGAATAAACCCGAGCTATGCGCGCATTCCGCGTGCTGCTGCCTCTCACGCGTACGCGTATGTATATGAATTGGCTTCCCATAGGAACGCGAGCGATAATTTTTGATCCCGAATGCCTCGCGCGTGTCGGAAGAGTGGGTATTCCTTATTCTCGTTGGATCTTGGATGCGCGCACAGGTATCTATGCCGCGCGCAACGGATAAAATCTGCACCCTTTCGGATAGGCACGGCGGTTAGCATTACCACATATATGGGGATGCACGAAAAGGGTGGTTATTTTGGCGATTGCTCGTCGCTGTATCGCATCTTTAGAAACAGAGGAACATTTTTCTATGTGATCAGTACAATTACAACGTACGCAACATTAGTCGATGAATACAAAGGAAATTTTCATAAAATCTCATCGAAAGCTCCGCTAACGACCGTAACAGTATTCATTAAAGCCGTCATACATCCGATAATAATTTAGAATTAAATCCACGCCTAGATAATACGAGAGGATCGTAAGGCTATCGTATTTCTCAATTCCTCCCATGAAGTTTCAAGCATTCGTCATACACGAATTCCACTTCTTGATTCAACAAACGCACACTAAAAATTAAAATTCAACAATTCCGAAAGTAAAAATAAACACTATTGGCCGCATACCAACGTTCATTAATTATGATCGCTGCACTTGCACGATGATTTTCTCATCCTCGCTCGTCTGACAGTCGATCTTCGTTCAAAATTTTCGTCGCATCGACCTTTCTCATTATTCATGCGTCCGCCGAACGCCTCTCTCCGAGTGATTGAACAGGTCTCTCTCAGATTTCAATGATTCATTCGCATCACGGCTTCGTTCGTTCGGGTTCGCGCCGAGTCGTCCACGTCTATTTTTTCTTTCCGTGATTCATTGTGCATACTACGGCTCATCAAAGCCCGTTTAAAGAAAATCTAATTAGTGCTGCTAACGAAATTTACCGTCGTCGTCAATTTTCCATTTAACACCCCCCTTCTCCTTAAAATAATTAGAGGCTATTTTTACGCAGTCTGCCGAGCGACGAAAAAAAAGAAGGTATATCCCGAAGACGCGTGTCGAGGCGAAAGGGCTAAGTGGGCCCTCCTTGTGTTCCAAGAAGGTAGTATAAGGTGGCTTCTTTTGAAATGTCAAGAAAAAAGAACAAAAGAAAAAAAAAGCAGAAGAGGAATATAGAAAACAAAAATGATGCGAGGCCGCATTTCGTAGGTGTCGCGCTCTCTTTTCTCCGTAGTGGAACACCGCGCGCGCAGACAATGGCGCCTGCCGTGCACTCGCGCATTTGACGTTTTCGCTTTCTATTTGTTGGAGAGCTTAAAAAAATACGCGCTCTGGCGAGATGCAAAAGAAGTAGGAGGTTACAGGTGTCGCAGTTCAGTGTCAAAGCGGCAGGCTTAATTTAGCTTAATTGGACTGAGAGCGACGTTCTCCAAATTCTCTCGCGGCGTATTTATCGGATCTTCAAAATCTCTCGCTCTCTCGTTCTGCTTTTATGTTAATCAAGCCGGCTCGCGGGATCCAGCACGAGAGTGCACAATGTTTGGCAAAAATTAAGAGGTAGACAGAAATTTTTTGGAAAAAATTGTGATAAAACAAAATACCAAACAAAACAAAAAACACGTGTCTAAAGGGCGTTCGACCAGTAAAGATGCTGATCTCGTCGCATCGTTTACTTAAAAGAAGCAGATCGTCTATCGCACCAGGGACGTTCCTTCTTTCGTCAATTAGGAACTTCCGTTGACTTTTGCAAGGAATGCCTTCTTCGTTTTTCGGCTTATATGCGTTCGATTTTCAGATGTGTACGGAGAATCTGCGGCCTGTTTGTAGAAACAAGCGCCGATTTCCTCTTCACTGGCGCACGAAGCGTGAAAATTGGCTGCGGACCTTTTCACACGCACAAAGTGGAAAAAGAATAGATTCTGCCGTCATTTCTTAGAATATGCGTAAACATATTTGAAAGTCGCGAGTTGATATTCATTCCACCAGACCCCAGCGATTAGTGTAAGTCAGCAAAACCTCGACAACAGTGCACGCGCCCACCGAGCATCATCATTCGTACGATAGCTCGCGGGGTTGCGCAGTTTATGCGAGTCAGTGCAAGCAATTTCGGGGGTGAGTGCGAAAAGAGGCGCCGGAACCTATCTCGTTCTTTTCTCCTTTTGTTTGTACGCTCGGACGAAAGGGATGCGCTGCCCTCGGGGGCACAACCCGAAAACACAGAGTGAGTATAATCTTGGAGCAGAGAAACCCAAGCCTTAAATTTGCTGGTAATGGACGCATCGAGAAATTTGCCCCCCCCCCCTCCCGTTGTGCCTTCTTTCTTCATTATTAATGACATTGATTATACGCGCGCGCGCGTGTGATAGCGGTTCGCTGTTCTTTTTTTAGTCACCGACAATTCCACCGGACCAACAGAGAAAGATGGACAACCTGTTTATTAAAGTTGACGTGATGAATCTTTCCGAGCTGTATCCTCTGTTATGAAGAGATGTACGGATTACAAAATTCTCTGCTATTAATAACTTTCGAGTAATATACTTTGCCATTTGACATCTATTTTTATGAAATAGCAAAGCTATCGCATCCAAGTAGCATACGATACGATTAGAATATATTATACATAGGGAAAATTTCAAGGAGCATCCTGACAACATAAAATTCCTTTGCCCGGCAAAAAGACCGACAAAGCAAAACTTACAGTTCTACGGTAGTGCAGTGTGGGCGAGTCGGGCATTTGAATATCAAAACTACAAATAAATAAAGCACGCGAAAAGCCGTCGTCGTGGTCGTGTGTCGCGCGGGTACGCAGTCAATAAACTCGATTAATTTATGCGCGAAGAAAAAAGAAGAGCGAGAGACGAAGGTTCTGTGACGGCGGCGGCGTCGGCGGCCGGTAAGGAAAGAGAGCAAAAATATGCAAAAAGAGTAAGAAAAATATTCTAGCCTCCTTATAATACGCGGCGAAAAAGCAAGGAGGAAGAGGAGGGCAAGAGAGAGGAGCGTTTCTCACCCTCTCGCAAAGCTGCTGCTGTTGCTCTCGGTGGCCCGATTCTCGGAAGGATCTCATTTGTTGGCCGCTGCTATATATCTTTGGGTCCGTTCTCTCTCTTGCCCCTCTACTGCATGCGTACACATACACACATAGGAGAGATAGAGAGAGAGAGAGAGAGA